ATCAGTTGACAGATACAGCTTTATATGTATCAATGAGAGACACTTATTACACGAAGACTGATGGCATTATCCGAAGATAAAAGTCGATGGAAATATGTCTGAACTCGGGGCCAACTGCTGTTTACTCCGACAAAACCCACTCATAACTTACAAGTGCCTAATTACTCTCAAGTGAAGATAAAAACAACTCGGACTATGCCAAGCAATGAATAACAACTCGAAAACACCGTCTACCGTCTTTATGTCGACTGTCCCTTTTATTTTATAGCGGTGTCACCCAAATCCTAACTGTACTCATGAGAAATGAAAATCTATTGTAGAGAATTGTTTGCTGTTCTACTTATATAAGTATATATATATATGTATATAATCGAAAGCATATACTTTCGATTTTGAGAGTTGTGTGATGTCGGCACGTCGGTGTTTCTATAGTTGTCTCACCAGAGTTTCTGCGAACGCCGAAAATTTGTTATCTACTCACAAAAGACACTATTTAAGTGTGTGTGTGTGTGTGTGTGTAGCACGACGTTTAGGTCTCGCCTAGCAATCCGACAGCCTTGGAAAATAATTAATCAATCTCATTATGTGTAAACAACCATTCGACTTATTCTCTACAAGCCCTGAAATTGTCTAGAAATAACCGTGGGCAAAGGATGAGATAATGGCTATCACCAGACTGAATATTGTATTTCGTCAGAGGAAGAGAAGATAAAAAACAAAAGCACATCGAAAACTCCAAATAGTTGATAGATCATGCATATGGTATTAAAAACTTTGATGAAGCGATAAGAGTTATTGAAATATAAGCGGTTGACAAGGACTAACACTTACGCCAGCTTCATGGCTGTCCGTTGTAAGTCTCTTACTAGACAAGGATGACCGTAAGGAATTGAGACGTTCCATTCTCACACATAGAACGTCATCCTATGGAATGTGAAAAAAACAAAACAACTAAAGTGAAATACTTCTGGACAGGCAGTGTGATTACAAATAGAAGCGTATAATTGAGCAGACATAAGTCAAATTGTTATTCGCAAGTACCATGCTACGCACAAGTAGACAATGTCACTTGTTATCTGTAACCGATTTCATTCACAAACATCATGAAAATAAACTTGCAAACTAGTAGTGGCTTGTTGTAAAAATGACCACAATTCTCGCCATAAAATTCAGTCAGCTCTAGTCATGACAATACATTATAAATACAATAAAAACTCTAACCAACAATTCATCACTGTACAGCATACCCATTCTACGGCGATCACTACAATCATCGTAGATGATGCATATGTCCTTCAAACTGATGGCTAGGTGTCTTAACTGTCTTAGCACTTACACAATATAACATGACAATACCGGATGCTTCAGACCTGAAAAAGTCAAGTACACATGCAACGTACTACTACTCGAAATAAATCACTGCATAGGACATTTTTACTTCTACCAACTGCTCATATGATTTAAGAGTATAGAAAAGCATTTTTAATTCAAATGGAGGAGACTTACGTCACTAGACTTTGTCAACTTCCCCACAGGTCGATGACAGACTTCTTCTGAATGTGGTTCGCGGCGCGCCATCTGAAAAAATGCAAATACCACTAGGAGGAAACGCTATATACTTCCAAAATAACTACACACATTATTCATCTTCCATATGAGTATTGCCTCATCATTTACCTACTTCCCTTGTGTGTTTTCAAATGGAAGCCTGCACAACAACATTAAACTGCTAATCAAATTCAACTATCAGTTGACAGATACAGCTTTATATGTATCAATGAGAGACACTTATTACACGAAGACTGATGGCATTATCCGAAGATAAAAGTCGATGGAAATATGTCTGAACTCGGGGCCAACTGCTGTTTACTCCGACAAAACCCACTCATAACTTACAAGTGCCTAATTACTCTCAAGTGAAGATAAAAACAACTCGGACTATGCCAAGCAATGAATAACAACTCGAAAACACCGTCTACCGTCTTTATGTCGACTGTCCCTTTTATTTTATAGCGGTGTCACCCAAATCCTAACTGTACTCATGAGAAATGAAAATCTATTGTAGAGAATTGTTTGCTGTTCTACTTATATAAGTATATATATATATGTATATAATCGAAAGCATATACTTTCGATTTTGAGAGTTGTGTGATGTCGGCACGTCGGTGTTTCTATAGTTGTCTCACCAGAGTTTCTGCGAACGCCGAAAATTTGTTATCTACTCACAAAAGACACTATTTAAGTGTGTGTGTGTGTGTGTGTGTGTGTGTAGCACGACGTTTAGGTCTCGCCTAGCAATCCGACAGCCTTGGAAAATAATTAATCAATCTCATTATGTGTAAACAACCATTCGACTTATTCTCTACAAGCCCTGAAATTGTCTAGAAATAACCGTGGGCAAAGGATGAGATAATGGCTATCACCAGACTGAATATTGTATTTCGTCAGAGGAAGAGAAGATAAAAAACAAAAGCACATCGAAAACTCCAAATAGTTGATAGATCATGCATATGGTATTAAAAACTTTGATGAAGCGATAAGAGTTATTGAAATATAAGCGGTTGACAAGGACTAACACTTACGCCAGCTTCATGGCTGTCCGTTGTAAGTCTCTTACTAGACAAGGATGACCGTAAGGAATTGAGACGTTCCATTCTCACACATAGAACGTCATCCTATGGAATGTGAAAAAAACAAAACAACTAAAGTGAAATACTTCTGGACAGGCAGTGTGATTACAAATAGAAGCGTATAATTGAGCAGACATAAGTCAAATTGTTATTCGCAAGTACCATGCTACGCACAAGTAGACAATGTCACTTGTTATCTGTAACCAATTTCATTCACAAACATCATGAAAATAAACTTGCAAACTAGTAGTGGCTTGTTGTAAAAATGACCACAATTCTCGCCATAAAATTCAGTCAGCTCTAGTCATGACAATACATTATAAATACAATAAAAACTCTAACCAACAATTCATCACTGTACAGCATACCCATTCTACGGCGATCACTACAATCATCGTAGATGATGCATATGTCCTTCAAACTGATGGCTAGGTGTCTTAACTGTCTTAGCACTTACACAATATAACATGACAATACCGGATGCTTCAGACCTGAAAAAGTCAAGTACACATGCAACGTACTACTACTCGAAATAAATCACTGCATAGGACATTTTTACTTCTACCAACTGCTCATATGATTTAAGAGTATAGAAAAGCATTTTTAATTCAAATGGAGGAGACTTACGTCACTAGACTTTGTCAACTTCCCCACAGGTCGATGACAGACTTCTTCTGAATGTGGTTCGCGGCGCGCCATCTGAAAAAATGCAAATACCACTAGGAGGAAACGCTATATACTTCCAAAATAACTACACACATTATTCATCTTCCATATGAGTATTGCCTCATCATTTACCTACTTCCCTTGTGTGTTTTCAAATGGAAGCCTGCACAACAACATTAAACTGCTAATCAAATTCAACTATCAGTTGACAGATACAGCTTTATATGTATCAATGAGAGACACTTATTACACGAAGACTGATGGCATTATCCGAAGATAAAAGTCGATGGAAATATGTCTGAACTCGGGGCCAACTGCTGTTTACTCCGACAAAACCCACTCATAACTTACAAGTGCCTAATTACTCTCAAGTGAAGATAAAAACAACTCGGACTATGCCAAGCAATGAATAACAACTCGAAAACACCGTCTACCGTCTTTATGTCGACTGTCCCTTTTATTTTATAGCGGTGTCACCCAAATCCTAACTGTACTCATGAGAAATGAAAATCTATTGTAGAGAATTGTTTGCTGTTCTACTTATATAAGTATATATATATATGTATATAATCGAAAGCATATACTTTCGATTTTGAGAGTTGTGTGATGTCGGCACGTCGGTGTTTCTATAGTTGTCTCACCAGAGTTTCTGCGAACGCCGAAAATTTGTTATCTACTCACAAAAGACACTATTTAAGTGTGTGTGTGTGTGTGTGTAGCACGACGTTTAGGTCTCGCCTAGCAATCCGACAGCCTTGGAAAATAATTAATCAATCTCATTATGTGTAAACAACCATTCGACTTATTCTCTACAAGCCCTGAAATTGTCTAGAAATAACCGTGGGCAAAGGATGAGATAATGGCTATCACCAGACTGAATATTGTATTTCGTCAGAGGAAGAAAAGATAAAAAACAAAAGCACATCGAAAACTCCAAATAGTTGATAGATCATGCATATGGTATTAAAAACTTTGATGAAGCGATAAGAGTTATTGAAATATAAGCGGTTGACAAGGACTAACACTTACGCCAGCTTCATGGCTGTCCGTTGTAAGTCTCTTACTAGACAAGGATGACCGTAAGGAATTGAGACGTTCCATTCTCACACATAGAACGTCATCCTATGGAATGTGAAAAAAACAAAACAACTAAAGTGAAATACTTCTGGACAGGCAGTGTGATTACAAATAGAAGCGTATAATTGAGCAGACATAAGTCAAATTGTTATTCGCAAGTACCATGCTACGCACAAGTAGACAATGTCACTTGTTATCTGTAACCAATTTCATTCACAAACATCATGAAAATAAACTTGCAAACTAGTAGTGGCTTGTTGTAAAAATGACCACAATTCTCGCCATAAAATTCAGTCAGCTCTAGTCATGACAATACATTATAAATACAATAAAAACTCTAACCAACAATTCATCACTGTACAGCATACCCATTCTACGGCGATCACTACAATCATCGTAGATGATGCATATGTCCTTCAAACTGATGGCTAGGTGTCTTAACTGTCTTAGCACTTACACAATATAACATGACAATACCGGATGCTTCAGACCTGAAAAAGTCAAGTACACATGCAACGTACTACTACTCGAAATAAATCACTGCATAGGACATTTTTACTTCTACCAACTGCTCATATGATTTAAGAGTATAGAAAAGCATTTTTAATTCAAATGGAGGAGACTTACGTCACTAGACTTTGTCAACTTCCCCACAGGTCGATGACAGACTTCTTCTGAATGTGGTTCGCGGCGCGCCATCTGAAAAAATGCAAATACCACTAGGAGGAAACGCTATATACTTCCAAAATAACTACACACATTATTCATCTTCCATATGAGTATTGCCTCATCATTTACCTACTTCCCTTGTGTGTTTTCAAATGGAAGCCTGCACAACAACATTAAACTGCTAATCAAATTCAACTATCAGTTGACAGATACAGCTTTATATGTATCAATGAGAGACACTTATTACACGAAGACTGATGGCATTATCCGAAGATAAAAGTCGATGGAAATATGTCTGAACTCGGGGCCAACTGCTGTTTACTCCGACAAAACCCACTCATAACTTACAAGTGCCTAATTACTCTCAAGTGAAGATAAAAACAACTCGGACTATGCCAAGCAATGAATAACAACTCGAAAACACCGTCTACCGTCTTTATGTCGACTGTCCCTTTTATTTTATAGCGGTGTCACCCAAATCCTAACTGTACTCATGAGAAATGAAAATCTATTGTAGAGAATTGTTTGCTGTTCTACTTATATAAGTATATATATATATATATGTATATAATCGAAAGCATATACTTTCGATTTTGAGAGTTGTGTGATGTCGGCACGTCGGTGTTTCTATAGTTGTCTCACCAGAGTTTCTGCGAACGCCGAAAATTTGTTATCTACTCACAAAAGACACTATTTAAGTGTGTGTGTGTGTGTGTGTAGCACGACGTTTAGGTCTCGCCTAGCAATCCGACAGCCTTGGAAAATAATTAATCAATCTCATTATGTGTAAACAACCATTCGACTTATTCTCTACAAGCCCTGAAATTGTCTAGAAATAACCGTGGGCAAAGGATGAGATAATGGCTATCACCAGACTGAATATTGTATTTCGTCAGAGGAAGAAAAGATAAAAAACAAAAGCACATCGAAAACTCCAAATAGTTGATAGATCATGCATATGGTATTAAAAACTTTGATGAAGCGATAAGAGTTATTGAAATATAAGCGGTTGACAAGGACTAACACTTACGCCAGCTTCATGGCTGTCCGTTGTAAGTCTCTTACTAGACAAGGATGACCGTAAGGAATTGAGACGTTCCATTCTCACACATAGAACGTCATCCTATGGAATGTGAAAAAAACAAAACAACTAAAGTGAAATACTTCTGGACAGGCAGTGTGATTACAAATAGAAGCGTATAATTGAGCAGACATAAGTCAAATTGTTATTCGCAAGTGCCATGCTACGCACAAGTAGACAATGTCACTTGTTATCTGTAACCGATTTCATTCACAAACATCATGAAAATAAACTTGCAAACTAGTAGTGGCTTGTTGTAAAAATGACCACAATTCTCGCCATAAAATTCAGTCAGCTCTAGTCATGACAATACATTATAAATACAATAAAAACTCTAACCAACAATTCATCACTGTACAGCATACCCATTCTACGGCGATCACTACAATCATCGTAGATGATGCATATGTCCTTCAAACTGATGGCTAGGTGTCTTAACTGTCTTAGCACTTACACAATATAACATGACAATACCGGATGCTTCAGACCTGAAAAAGTCAAGTACACATGCAACGTACTACTACTCGAAATAAATCACTGCATAGGACATTTTTACTTCTACCAACTGCTCATATGATTTAAGAGTATAGAAAAGCATTTTTAATTCAAATGGAGGAGACTTACGTCACTAGACTTTGTCAACTTCCCCACAGGTCGATGACAGACTTCTTCTGAATGTGGTTCGCGGCGCGCCATCTGAAAAAATGCAAATACCACTAGGAGGAAACGCTATATACTTCCAAAATAACTACACACATTATTCATCTTCCATATGAGTATTGCCTCATCATTTACCTACTTCCCTTGTGTGTTTTCAAATGGAAGCCTGCACAACAACATTAAACTGCTAATCAAATTCAACTATCAGTTGACAGATACAGCTTTATATGTATCAATGAGAGACACTTATTACACGAAGACTGATGGCATTATCCGAAGATAAAAGTCGATGGAAATATGTCTGAACTCGGGGCCAACTGCTGTTTACTCCGACAAAACCCACTCATAACTTACAAGTGCCTAATTACTCTCAAGTGAAGATAAAAACAACTCGGACTATGCCAAGCAATGAATAACAACTCGAAAACACCGTCTACCGTCTTTATGTCGACTGTCCCTTTTATTTTATAGCGGTGTCACCCAAATCCTAACTGTACTCATGAGAAATGAAAATCTATTGTAGAGAATTGTTTGCTGTTCTACTTATATAAGTATATATATATATATATGTATATAATCGAAAGCATATACTTTCGATTTTGAGAGTTGTGTGATGTCGGCACGTCGGTGTTTCTATAGTTGTCTCACCAGAGTTTCTGCGAACGCCGAAAATTTGTTATCTACTCACAAAAGACACTATTTAAGTGTGTGTGTGTGTGTAGCACGACGTTTAGGTCTCGCCTAGCAATCCGACAGCCTTGGAAAATAATTAATCAATCTCATTATGTGTAAACAACTATTCAACTTCTTGGGGAAAATATTTTAACTACATTAAGGAGAAACTCACAGGGTTTTTGGTATTTGGTTCAAGTAGTAGAGATAAATAGTTGTGTATCCCGAAACGGACTTTCAAACCCAAGAGTAGATTTCGGCGCATGGAATATGTGTGTGCATGACCGCTACTCGATCAAACAATGTGTAATGTAATCATATTTTGTTTATACAGTGTCATTTTTTACGTGTTATTGTGAATCTGTTTGATTTCTTTGTTCTGACTTTTTGATTAGGTAGTATAGGTACATGGTCCTCGGCAAACTTCTGCATTACTAGTCCCGTCACGCGACCGTCCTAGATTTGGTTGGCTCCAAAAGGAGTGGTGCTGGGATTATTTATTTATGGTTTGTAATAAGAGGTGTTAAGATTGTCACTACTGTGAGTGGAGTTGATGCTTTCACCAGTTATTGCTTCTGTATCGTCGTCAAATGAAATAAGATAATAATAAACGTAATAATAGATATACTTGGTGAAGTTAATCAGACTGGCAGACAGAAAACGAAATAAAGAAAACGTAAAAGAGACAGTTGAATATATTTGAAGTTGGTATATATAGATATGTATATCAGAAATAATAATAAGTGTAGTTAGGGCTGACAGGAGAGTAAGACGGGAGGGAATGTAAAGAAGTAAATCGACGAACTTAATTGTTTACTCCCGAATGGTGTATGAGATGTTAAGGGGATAGTCCATTTTTACGCAGTCCTTCTGCCTCTCCATGACTGCCCAGCCGTCACCTAAAGGCGCTACAGATGTCGCCATAGGTACATCTGCCGGTAATCAATTCCAGGGATGGTAAACTCTCAGTGAAAATAAGTGGGAGCTCACCTGGATCATTGTCCTCTGATGAACCAACCCTCTGGGATTTCCAGGAGGAAGCCTATACCTACTAAATGGCAGAACACCTTAGTTTGGACAACTGTGGTCATTTGTTATCTTGTAGGCAGTAATCAGATCACCCCTAGCTACCCCCGATGGTAGCTAAGTGTGGATAGGCCTTATTTCTTTAGCCTTTCATAATTCGTTTTATTTCGGAGACCAACCACTCCTATTTTCGCCCATCTTTGCACTCTTTCCAAGAGGTTGGCGTCTCTTCTAGGCAGTGCGGGTACAATGATATTATGCACTTCAAGGAGTGGTCTGATGTATTTTTTTGTTCAGCCTTAGAAAGAGCTGAGGAGTGAGTGCTACTACCTGTTTGCGTAAATTGTAGGACTACATGTGCCCTCGCTACTTCCCCTGTGTGATTCACTCTTGTATCTATTTTTCTGTTAGAACTACACCCAAGTTACGCCCGACGTTTTGCAGGACAAGCTTTCGTCGCATAAGGTTTTACTTGTATTCTGCAGCGTACAAGTGCGTAATTTCACCACTTTGTACTCTTTCAGGTTGAAAGTCATGCCATTGGCCACCTCCAAGTCTTCAAAAGGCCTTAGATCTGCCTGCAGCCTATCTGAGTCTTCCAAACAATTTAATGCTCTCCAAATCTTTACCTCGTCAGCGTGCAGAAGAGTTGGGCAGCTTAGATGGCATCGTAAGGGAGGGTAATGGCGAACTGTGTCAAATGCCTTATCAGAGTCTAGGAAGACCACATGGATTGGAACATTCATATCCCAGCATGACGTCTAATCGTCCCAACGTGACAGTAGGTTTGTTACACAGAATCTGCCTTTCCCGAAACCATCTTCGGCATCATGGAGTCTATTAGTCCTATCGAGGTGCTCCCTGATATGATCATCATTAATATTTTCCAGCACTTTTGATACCACTGGGGAAGAGCTACTGGTCTGTAACTAGTGGCATTTTGCCTGTCCTCACCCTTTGAAAATCAGATAGACGATGGCTCTTTCCCACTCCCTTGGCAGCTTCCCCGGATCCATCGAGTATTGGAACAAGTCGCATTAGGGCCTACAGAGAGCTTCGGTGCACTGTTGTAGAACAGATGGCCTGATGTCATCACAACTTGGGGACTTCCCAGGTGTCTCTGTAGCTTCTTTAGTACTAATGTCGGGTTTATTTGAGGGTAGTCACTAGGCCTTTCTCCGGAGAAATAGTAACGCCGCTATTTTGGTCTGTACCAGTGATACCCACGTTGCTGTTTAACTGATTGGTGAAGGCTAAACTGAATGTTTCTGCCATCTCCAGACTAGTGAGATATTGACCGTTTGGGCCTACTAAGGCGCATGCTTGTTTTCTTTCCGACATGAATTGATAAAAATTTTGGGGTTTGCTAGGAGTTTTTTGGCAAGGTTAGCCCCAAACGATCTCCTGTCAATCCTGACTCTCGCGTTGCACTGGTTCCTGAGTTCCAGTTATGCATCGTGGTCGGTCTGACACTTGGATACGCTCTACGTAAACCAAGTCTTCCAGTTTGCTTGCAGAATGCATCGCGTACCTCT